CAGGCAAGGGGGCCTGTACAAAGATCATTTGGCCCGTCGGGCCCATTTGCCAGAAGCCGGGGCAGGATGGAGGCCCCATGGAGTGGGGATGCCATCTGGAGGGCCTTGAAGACCTAGATCTCCTGCTGCGTCGGGAGTACCCCGAGGAGGAGGAGGACGATGAAGAGGAGGAAGCTGAGGATGAGCGCGCGCGCCTGGATGTCGATCTGCGGCGGCGGCGGCGCGACCTCCTGCTCCTCCGGGAGGGCGATCTCGAGCGCCTCGGTCTCCTGCTGCCTCTGGGTTGGGGCCATTGGAGGGGGGGAGGAGCCGGTACCGAAGGGGAGGCGTCCCCGACAGCGRGAGGCTCTCCCGTCCCGCAGGGTGCTTCCTGGATCGGCGGCTCGAGCTGGACGCCGCCCCCGACGTCGTCGTCAGCCTGCGTCGGCAAGGGGGTGGAGTCAGCTCCTWGCATCCCTCCCCCTTGCGAGAGGGGAGGCATCTGTGGGAGCGCCGATACCGAGGAGGCATCGGATGCGGTCACCCGYACCGGCGAGCCTCGAGCTCTGCTCAGGGGCAGGGGGCGAGAAGAGCGGCAAGGCCACGGGAGGCGGAGTGAGGCCGATTGACTCCATCACGGGGGCAGCAGCCATCGGGGTCGACRTCGAGGGACCCGCAGCAACGGCGCCAGCGGCCTGCAGAGGGAGCACCTCTTCTGGCTGGATGCCCGGCATCGCTAGGGAAGCGGCGTTTTGGCGAGCTCTTCCCGCCCTTTTCTCAATCGGCTTCTCCTGAGCGGAGGCTTGGCGGCCATCTTGAGCCCCTTTTTCTTTGGGCTTCTTGGCCTTCTTTTTCATGAGGCCTGAAGGGGTTGGCAAAAAAGGTAAGTTCGGGCTTTCTTTGGGTTGGCCTGATGCGACGGGCGGAAGAAGAGCCCTTTCATAGAGTACCGCCTGGAGTCTAGAAATTCTGTTCTTCCTCGTTTGAGGAGTGAACGACAGGCAAACAGAACAAGACTGTGTCATATGGGCTTCCCCTAGGCACGTAAGGCAGAGGGTATGCCCATCAGTGTCCGGTAGGATATTGGGACACTTAGAACACTTCTTAAATGAAGTGGTCGCCATAACAGCAGGGATCAATCGGAGAGAGTTAGTCAGATCAGTCCGGTCAAAATACCTCAAAATCGATTCGTAGAAGAGACCAAAGCAAAGGGATACAGCAGAGGGATCGTCGATAGTCAGTCCAATGTCAAAGCCAATATAATCAATAATCAATAAAGATCGAAGTTGACAGAAGGTTCTCCAAGCTGCAAAGCATGCGAGCGGATTAAGAGAACTGACGGCTAGTCCCGCCCTCAGGCTATATATACTCGGGAGGAGGGGGCGGGCCTAGCAGAGGGCTAAAATGTTCCCTTTTACTTTCTAGAAGGTTCCGTAAGTTGCACTGCGCAAGCGCAGAGATACCACATGTATGATTCACAGTGACTACGACAGGCAAGGCCTCCTTCATGGCTGCAGCCATGGAGGGGGCCTCCCGGTCGCCTCTCGCGTCCTCCGAAGCCGGTGGGCGCAGGAGGCGAGCGGGGAAGGCCTCATCCATGGCTGCAGCCATGGAGGGGGCCTCCCAGTCGCCTCTCGCGTCCTCCGAAGCCGGTGGGCGCAGGAGGCGAGCGGGGAAGGCCTCATCCATGGCTGCAGCCATGGAGGGGGCCTCCCAGTCGCCTCTCGCCTCCTCCGAAGCCGGAGGGCGCAGGAGGAGAGCGGGGAAGGCCTCCTCCATGGCTGCAGCCATGGAGGGGGCCTCCCAGTCGCCTCTCGCGTCCTCCGAAGGCGGAGGGCGCAGGAGGCGAGCGGGGAAGGCCTCTTCCATGGCTGCAGCCATGGAGGGGGCCTCCCAGTCGCCCTCGCGTCCTCCGAAGCCGGGGGACCCAGGAGGCGAGCGGGGAAGGCCTCCTTCATGGCTGCAGCCATGGAGGGGGCCTCCCAGTCGCCTCTCGCGTCCTCCGAAGCCGGGGGACCCAGGAGGCGAGCGGGGAAGGCCTCCTTCATGGCTGCAGCCATGGAGGGGGCCTCCCAGTCGCCTCTCGCGTCCTCCGAAGCCGGGGCGCAGGAGGCGAGCGGGGAAGGCCTCATCCATGGCTGCAGCCATGGAGGGGGCCTCCCAGTCGCCCCTCGCGTCCTCCGAAGCCGGTGGGCGCAGGAGGCGAGCGGGGAAGGCCTCATCCATGGCTGCAGCCATGGAGGGGGCCTCCCAGTCGCCTCTCGCATCCTCCGAAGCCGGGGGGCGCAGGAGGCGAGCGGGGAAGGCCTCCTCCATGGCTGCAGCCATGGAGGGGGCCTCCCAGTCGCCTCTCGCGTCCTCCGAAGCCGGAGGGCGCAGGAGGCGAGCGGGGAAGGCCTCATCCATGGCTGCAGCCATGGAGGGGGCCTCCCAGTCCCCTCTCGCGTTCTCTGAAGGGGGGACGCAGGAGGCGAGAGGGGAAGGCCTCCTTCATGGCTGCAGCCATGGAGGGGGCCTCCCAGTCGCCCCTCGCGTCCTCGAAGCCGGGGGGCGCAGGAGGCCAGCGAGGAAGGCCTCCTTCATGGCTGCAGCCATGGAGGGGTCCTCCCAGTCGCCTCTCGCGTCCTCCGAAGCCGGAGGGCGCAGGAGGCAAGCGGGGAAGGCCTCATCCATGGCTGCAGCCATGGAGGGGGCCTCCCAGTCGGGGGACGTTGGAAGCCGGGGGACGTTGGAGGCGACCTGGGAAGGCCTCATCGATGGCTGCAGCCATGGAGGGGGCCTCCCAGTCGCCTCTCGCGTCCTCCGAAGCCGGTGGGCGCAGGAGGCGAGCGGGGAAGGCCTCCTTCATGGCTGCAGCCATGGACGGGGCCTCCCGGTCGCCTCTCGCGTCCTCCGAAGCCGGTGGGCGCAGGAGGCGAAGCGGGGAAGGCCTCATCCATGGCTGCAGCCATGGAGGGGGCCTCCCAGTCGGGGGACGTTGGAAGCCGGGGGACGTTGGAGGCGACCTGGGAAGGCCTCATCGATGGCTGCAGCCATGGAGGGGGCCTCCCAGTCGCCTCTCGCGTCCTCCGAAGCCGGTGGGCGCAGGAGGCGAGCGGGGAAGGCCTCATCCATGGCTGCAGCCATGGAGGGGGCCTCCCAGTCGCCCCTCGCGTCCTCCGAAGCCGGGGGCGCAGGAGGCGAGCGGGGAAGGCCTCCTTCATGGCTGCAGCCATGGAGGGGGCCTCCCAGTCGCCTCTCGCGTCCTCCGAAGCCGGAGGGCGCAGGAGGCGAGCGGGGAAGGCCTCATCCATGGC